ATGTGTGTGTGGGGGTGTGGGTATATGGGAGGTATGCATGTGATTGCCTGAGAGATCAGGTGCAGCGCATGCTCCTGGAGCTGGAGTGACAGGTGATTGTGCGCATCCTGACAAGGAGGCTTGGAATTGATCTCAGGTCCTCTGCAAGGGCAGTACTCACTCATAACTGTTGAGCCATCTCTCAAGCCCTGTGCCAAACTTCTCCATTTGCTTGCCTTACGTCTGATCAAGAAGTGGGTCATTTCAACAGTGACTTCCAGGCCCCTCCCCGCCACTCACCTGGGGGCGGGGTTCCCTTTAGCTTCACATTCAATCAGGATGTTATCACGGGGGTCCACGATGTGGTCCTTCACTGACTGCTTGGTGATAGTCGGGGGCTGGGTCACTGCAACAGGACACACGCAGCAAGGGTCAGAGCTTCAGGGACCTGCCCTGGACTTGGTTTAGGGTGTGGCTAAAGTCAAGAGCACCAGGAGCCGCCTGGGCAAGCAGGCAAGCAAGCAGGTATGAGTAGTACCCTATTCTAAAGATGCAGTATCTTAAACAAGGTTGCAGGATAGGGGTGGATGTCGCAGGTGGAGCACGGGAACCCTTTAAGAAGATCCAGGCTCCCTCTGAGCAACTGAAAGCCAGGCCGTTTCACCCAGGATCACATCCCAGTGCCCAGTATATTGCACAGGGTACCACAGTCCCTGCTGAATGTGTGTTGAGTGGATACAGGAACGAAACCATCTATGACTGCAGAACTTAGTACTGCGATCGTTCTGAGCCACGAGTCTCAACAGATGGCCAGACTGCTGAGGCAAGAGCCAAAAGAGGCTTCAGTCCCTTGGAGCTTCACAAGGGCTTCCCTGTGGACCAGCAGGCTGGTGTTCTGCCCAGGGGTGCAGTGCCAGTCTCCATAGTAGCTGTGGCACATCCCAGCTGCCATCTGTAGACCATCTTCTGCCCACTTACCCATCCTCCCTGCTCTGGGGACATTATCTTCCATTGGCAGAGGACTCACTATAGGGCTCTAGGCTTGAGCAGCACCCACAGGCAATGAAGAGGGCAGCCCCTCCTCCCTCCCTCCAACCTCCCAGAGGCTCAAGGGCATGGAGGCACATGAGGCACTTACGCTCATTCTGAATGCTTGCTGTTAGTTCCAGTGGGTTAGCATTGGGAGGGGGAGAGAAGGAGAAGACTGTTATTGCACACAATTGTCCAGCTAACTGTCGGCCATCCTCCTGTCCTAGCTCACAGGGTTGGGGTGAGGGGATGCGGGAACAGCACCGGGCATGGGGATTTCTCCCAGATGCGAAGTTTGACAGAAGAGCCAGGCCAGGTTGGAGAACAGACCTACAAATACTTCAAGGAAAAGGTGTATCACCGGGAAGACAGAGACTCCACAGTAGCAGGACCAGTAACCACCAGAGATGTTACCAGGGAAATCCCAATGTCCCCAAATGATAAGGCTACCTGAAAGGGACCCTTCAGATGCTGCCCGGCATCTGACACCATTGAGAGAGGAGGGAGTCTTGGTGCACAGGGTCAACATGGAGGTGCTGGGGAGTGAACAGAAGAGTGGACTTTAACCACTTCTATGGGACAAAGGCCTAACATATAGAAGCACCCAGCACTCCGGCCCCTCATACACTGTTTCTCTCTCACACAAAAGCATGTTCTATGAAAATCCTGTTGGTGCAGGAGAATTATCTGTATTCTGTCAATCATATTTTAATAAAACGCTGATTGGCCAGGCAGGCAGTATAGGCGGGAAAGCCAGACAGGAAGTAGGGGTGGAGCAAAGAGACTGAGAGTATTCTGGAAGCAGAAGCTCTCTCTCAGCCACTCCTGCGCAGACCACTGGAGAGGAAACATGTAAGCTGCCCAGCTGGAAAAGGTACTGAGCCATTATGGCTAACATAGATAATGATAATGGATTAATATAAGTTACAAGGACTAATAATAAGCCTGACCTATTGAGCCAATCAGTTTATAATCTTATGGAGTCTTGTGTGTGATTTTCTTTGGGGTTTACCGGCTGTGGAGTACCGGATGGGACAAATACCCCAACAAGCTGGCCCTCATGTTACATCCTGTTCCTGGGGTGACAGTATTCCAGCACATGGTCAACCCCACCACTCCTTCTTGTGTCTTCCACAAAGGGCACAGAGAGGTAGGCGACACACATCCTCACCAGCCCTGTCTGCACACACTCTGCACATACAGGCCATGCACAGGTGTGTTCCTGCTTCTCACACTCTAACCAGCGGGTTGCTCACTGCAGCTAGAGAAGATGCAGGCTGTGGCTCTGAGCGCCTGCTGAGAGCCTGCATTCTACTCTGTTACTTTCTTTCAAAGCTGGGAGTGGAACCAGGCTGGTGCTCGACTACGGAACCCTACCCTTTCGAAGTCCCACATTTCCGACAAATGCCTCCGTGGGGCCGAGGCCTCCGAACTGTGCCTTGGGTAGTAAGGTTTCAGGTGTGGAAAGCAAGACTCAGTTCAAACAGATGTGGAGAAAAGACAAAACATGTCTCTAGGACTCTTCAATGTCTTCTCTTAGGATACCATGAGGAAGCAACATGACATCGTCACATCACGCTGGTGCGGAGGTCAGGCGCACACAGGCACTGTGGGCTGCCTTTTCAGAATGAGCGCTGTTGGGGAGAGCGGGAGCTAGGGGCTTTGGAGCAGAGTCAGGGAGACTTGATGTCTTCCCATCAGAGTGAAGAGACTTGGAGGAGGTGCAGGCTCAGAAAGGGCAGCCTTCAGGGAGCCAGGGCTCACTTAGGCCCAAGAGAGTCAGGCAAGCAGAGAAAGGGACATGAAGAAGGAATGGAACGTGACAGGAATGAGCAGGGCATGCAGGCTGTTAGCAAAAGAGTCTCCACGGTATGGCTTTTAAAAAGGTTCCGTGAACAAGGTGGTGTGGCCTTCAGAGCAATCAAGAGACATTCTGCTTTTTCCTTGTCCAGATCTGCCTGAGCTGGAAACAAAGGAACGAAAAATCCGAGAGCAAAGGCAGGAGGCTCTGAATGTGGGCTTCGTGGAGTTCCCTGCCACAGCACTTTCCTCTGTATGTGATCTTCCTGCCAACACCAGTAATTCTGAAAAGACTGAAAGCCAGTGGGGCTGGGACAGGAGTCCAGCGAGGCAGCTGCCAGTCTCCAGACAGGTAGGACTGGCCCTTGAGTACTTTTGATCACCAGCTGGGCTCCGGCTTCATTTCAGGATACACTGATGCCTCTTGGTCCTGATGCACCCTGCTTCCGGGCTCTGACTCCCTTCCACGGCATCTTGAATTCAAGGGTGGGTAATTTCACGGCTACAGTCGTGTGGAAGCTGGCTTCAAAGACAGAATATGACTAGCGTCCCCAGAGGTTGTTGCAGAACTTTCAAAATCCATCCTTAGTGAGCAAGCTGGAGGCAGGCCTCGTGACTTCACTGTCCTTGACATTGTGGACAACGGGGATCCTTCAGTGAGTGGAGATTCCCAAGTCACCTTAGAGCGGGCTGGCTGCTGACGCTAGCCCAGGCTGCTCGCCTGGCTAAGGGCCTTTTGAGCATCTATTTGCCTAGTGGGACAATGACATCTCAGTCACCACTCTGCTCCCAAGGGATTTATTGCAGGGACAGAATCAAGCCAGGAGACAAGCCACGATGGAGAGAAGGTAGCGGAGACAACCTGTCTGAGGACAAGGACAACAGTGCTCCCTCCTCTTTGTCACCACGTGCTCCTCTTTCCTTTCCCAGAACTTGCTGTCTGACAATGTTGGGTAGAGGATGAATTTACGCTTTTGGTTTCCAAGGAGGAGAAAATGGGCCCCTACTCCATCTCCGTGGGGTAAGCGGGTGCCTGTCCTGGCTCCAGGGCTCTACCTTCATGCCTCTCTTTTCTTCTTGGGCTCTGGGAGCTAGTTGATTTCTGGGCTCCCTCCTGGGAGGATGGAGGATGTGGGGTGGGCAGGAGCATCTTTCCATTCTGCCATCCTCTTCTGTGGGCTCTGAGGAGGAGATGCTGAATCCTCTTGAGTGGAAGGAGGACGGAAGAAAATGCAAGCAAGCTTCCAAGAGACTCACTGCTTGGCAAGGCCGTTCTGACTGAGGAGGTGACCCATTACTTTTTTTTTTTTTTTAAGGTCATTCTGTTCTCCACTGGGCTAATGGGAGGGAGGTGGCGTGTGACTTCACTGGCAAGGCAATCAGAGCCAGAGGCTGGGCGCGTCAATAAGGGATTGTGCAGCCATCCAGGGTGCTGCTCCAGAAAGCTGCTGTGCCAAGCGCCAGAGTGGGAGCAGTGTCCCTGCCCTAGAGGAACGGAGAATGCCCTGAAGGGACAAGTGAGTAAGCACCCGGCAGGACAGTCTCTCTTCTGATATCCTCAGCCCCACCCTCCCAGCAAAGGAGTAAGTTAGGAAAACACCTGACTGGTCCTAAGCCCAGATGGCAAGGCTGTGGTTAAGTCAGGGGAGGAACCTGCCGAGGGAATCCGTGTCCTTGCTATGTCATTGTTTTGAGGTCAGCTTCTGTAGACGAGTCATTGAAATGGGTCCACAGCAACCAGGAGGCACGGTGCTTTGTGGGGCATCTATCCTGACACAGCCGGAACCAACTACAGCCATGTGGTAGAGACTCCTCTCAGAGAGGTGCAGCTGTCAGGCGCCAGCTCTGCCTCTTTCCTGCTTCCTAACCCGTCAGCTAAGGGTGACATCGACATCCAGACTTCCTGTGAGAACCGTACATACTGAGATCACCGCTCTCAGGTCTCTGTCTGGCCTAGCGCAGCTGCAACCAGTGAGGTCCAAGGACTTAATGAAAGCAGGATCAGTGCTCCATAGCACAGGCAAGACACCGAGATTCCATTCTGCCTTTATCACCACGATAGGTGTGATCCTAGGCAAGGAACGGCTTGATCTGCGTAGACAACATGAAAGGATGGGTCCCCAATCCCCTCCAGGATGCTGGGACGGAGAGTCAGTGGTGAGGAAGTTAGGGCCCTCAGCCTTCTGCCTCAAGCAAGTACATGGGTTTCCTGTTGTATTCCCGTCTCCAGTAGAGCTTAGAAATCCATATTTTTCAGTATAGAAGCCCAAACCATCTATTTCTAGGTTCACGCTGCAGGAGCCCCTCCCCCACCAGACCCGCGTATCTAATGGCAGCTGAGTGAGAAGTGGCAGAAGGGAAATGAGCCTTCACCGAGTTCTCGATAACCTGATTTCCTCTGCACCCTCCTCTCCAGGGACACGCCCTTATCAAGCCTATTAAGACTGTCTGCCTGGCTGTTAATGAGAATCTCCTTGAGCCGGCCACAGGCGGTCACCATGGGAACGCTGGTCTCACAGCTCTCCTCTCTTCCTCCTTCCACGTATAAATGCTCGGGCAGGAGCGGTCTTGGCCAGCTTGCTTCTGGGATCAATTCATAGTTATCACTGGTCTCTGCCATCCGGAAGTGCAGACGCCTCCGGGGTAGCTGTTACTGGAGGAGGTCTGGCTTTAGAGCCCTGTGGGGCTTTCTGGGAGGCCATCTTCACCTCCCATCTCCTTCGTCCATCTGTTAACTGGAGAGAGTCCAAGTCTATCTCGGCATCACACGGACTCTACGAATTCTTTGAGCCCGAGAATAGGGGGCAGAGGGGCTATGCCTATACGTTAGTGCTAGGATGCAAAGATATCCCGCACACATGTCAAAACGGTGTATGCTTACATACAGAGCTAGGAAACAAGGAGCCAATCAACAGCCACCAGGGAACACAGTACCAGAGACAGTGGAGAGAGATCCAGACATCAGTGGTGCATGTCAGGTACAGACAGGCGCTGCCATCATGAACAGAAATGAGTGCCATATTTTGATAGTTCCGAGGGAATCCTGGGACAGAAAGAACCTGTGCCTGGCTCTCCCACGTTATGGCTCATGTCTTATTTGGCTGTGTCTTTTACAAAGATAATGCCCTTGCCAATCCTCTCCCAGGCTATCCACCATCATCCTTATTACTCCAGCCAAGACTGGGCATTGGCTCTGGGTGGATCACATTAGAGAGACTTAGTAAGGACACCCTACCACACTTGACCCTGGAAACTGGTTTTAGAAGGGGTAAGTCAAGGCTAAGGCCAGGTGGGTAAGTATGAGGAGAGAGGAGAACTCCAGGTGGCTCTCTGAATTCCCAACTATGTCACCCTCAGTTCCACTTAGCAGGTTCCAGGCAACACAGAGCCCAGGTTATCCAGCCCTAAGAGGCCTGCATCTTAGTTTCCAATTTCCCAGTGGGAGCCTACATCAAGTCTTTGGAGAAAAGCCCAGTTCTGAAGCCGGGAATCCACTGTTACCCCCTCTTCCTCTCCTTTCCCTGACCTTCCTCCCCAACGCCAACTCCTCCAATATCAGGAGTAAGAGGAAAAGAGCGGGCACAAACTCACGATCCATTGGAATTTCAATGGCCCCTCCGGGGCTGAGGAGGAAGAGGATGAGGGCTGTGTGGACCCAGGGTAGGGCTTGCTGCCTGTCCATCCTCAGCACCGGGCCTTGCTCCCAGCTGCCCAGCCCACGGGCTCTCGACGCCTTGTGCCGCTCTACGGGGGCCTTTCAGACAGTGCTCAGCTAGAAAAGAAAACAACAGCAAGTGAGTTTCTCTTGAACTCGTGTTTTTGCTCTGCTCACCCCCCACCAGCATGGTCTCAAAAGACTCGAGTCTCCCAGCCACAGAGTTTGTGAATCTCCTAGGCCATGGTTTCTAACCTTGGAATGAAACAATTCATGTCTGCCCTATATACTGTAGGGTTTGGAAGCTCCCCTGGTCTCTACCTACCCAATACCAGTAGAGCCCGGCCAGCCCTGTCGCCAATCAAAAACATTTCGGGACATTGCTGCTTGTCCCAGATGTCTCAGATGCTGCAGGTGGCATCTCCAGAGAACAAATCCAACAGGGATTAAAACCCAGTATGGAATGAAGGTAACTGCATAGAGGAATTGTTAAAACACACATTGGCCTAGAGGTCCCGAATAGATAGACGTACCAGCTCAAAGTTTTCCTGGACTTGGCTCTACTCTCCCCGTGAGTCTCAAAAAAACTCAAGGGGCCTCGAGCAAAATGTGTTTGGGTGAGGACACAGGAATAAGATCTTGCTGATGATCTTCAACCCTACGGGGAGGCAGGAGCGCTGTCTAAGGAGAAGGGATGGGCTGAGACTCAAGCTCAGCACTCTGAGACTGCCTGGAGCTCTGAACTACTCCAGCCTGCCAGCATTATGAGGCCACGTCAAGGAGGAAGGCCACAGATGGAGACGCCAGAATCCCTTCAGCTTGCCTCAGCAAACATCTTTATCAGCTGAACACACAGCTCCACTCCTGCTTTATTTGACTGGAGCCACAGTCAACTACAACCACCCACCCATCCATCTACATAGGTGGAGGACAGAGCCCAGGCAAGAGCTCCTCAGAGATGAGGCCATTGTTCTGGAGTCCTGTAGTAGAAAGCATCACCAGTCTCTATCTCCCTATGTAAGAATGAATGATTCTGGGTCATATTTCAGCAGCTGAGCCCAAAACTAGCCTCTCCCCACCGTGTGTGTGTATGCCTGTGTACATGTGTTGTGTGCGTGTGTGTGTGTGTGTGTGTGTGTGTCCTCCATCTACCTGCCTCCCTTCCCATGGCCACCTCCTTGGTTTGGACCACACCAGGGTTCCGGGCTAGAGTGACTGCAACAGCTTCCTAAGTATCCCTGCTTCTCCTACCCCTGCCTTCATTCATCCTCTGTCTATGGCCAGAACTTTTATTTCTAAAGCAGAAATACAAACATGCCACTCCTTGTCACCTCTCACCCCTGTCCCCAAGTTAACGCTAACTTACTTTACTGGCTTGACACCCCAAACCATGTGCTCCCCGCCCTCTCCCACTCTCCCCTGGCATGCTGGTCCTAAGGTTCTCCGTGTATGCTGTCCTGACCCCTGGGAAAGAGCAACCTGTGTGCAGGACAGTCTGTGCTCTTGGCCTTTCTCATTAGGATTTGCTAAGTGTTACTTAGGACTTCCCTCAGTATCTACTTCGACTCCCACGATGGCATTCTTGGCTTTGTATTCACTCCTAAAAGTTACTTGAAGGCTCAATAAATGGGAAAGTTTACCACAGGACCAAAGAGCCCCTCAAAATGTTTGACAGACGGACGTAAGGGTGGGTAAGAAAAATGAACAAGTAAATGTATAAATGAAAGAAGTTGCTTGGATGGTATTATTTTTAAGTATATTTTATTATTTGAAAATTCTGTAAAATGTATTTTGAACATCTTCATCCCCTCCCCCACCTACTCCCATATCTCATCTCCATTCCTTACCTACACAAGGCAGAGTTTTCTTCTTCTTTTATTAATCCCACCCAGTCCAGTTTGTGCTGCCCAGTTACTTCTGGGAGTGGAACTGCCCTGACCTTACTGAGGGATACATCAGTAAAGAAAACTGGCTCTTTCTCCCAGCAGCTAAGAGATGCCAGTAACTCCTCAGCTAGTAGTGCTTTTGTGCTCACCTCCCCCATTCCATGCTGGGATTTTGTCTGGCTGGAGCTTGCATGGGTCTAGTGCCTGTTGTCACAGCCATGATGCATGCAAGACTGTAACTGTGCTGCTGTGCCCGGGAAACACTGCTTCATGGGGTTGTCAGCCACTTCTGGCTCTTACAATCCTTCAGTCCCTCTTCTGTGAAGATCCCCGAGTGTGTGTGTGTGTGTGTGTGTGTGTGTGTGTGTGTGTGTGGGTGTGGGTGTGGGTGTGTATGTGTGTGTGTTCCTCTAGAAGACCACTAGGTGGTACAAGAAAGCACAACTTGGAGAGTGACTTAGGTGGGAAGAACCTCCTCCCTACAGGTCAGATGCCAGGAGGTCAGTGAGCTGGAAGAAGACAAAGTAGGAAATCTTCCAAGAATGGGCCCTGAGGCTAGAAGGCATCGCAAGAGTTAGCTCTCCAGGATGGTCCTTACACTGTCCTTCAGAAAGGCCACTAATGCTTCACCTTGACTTACACACCTCCAAAGATCAGCCTGACTTTCTGGTTGAAGCCCCAGTGTGGAGAGAGCTTGCACTAGGAAAGGCATGGCCTTCTTTCCGGGGAGGGGTAGAAGGACATAGTTTGGGCTCACTGACCACTGTGTTTGGCTCAGGACCTGCCAAGTGGCAGAGTGATGGGAAAGGGATGGGTGTTCATTCTGGGAATCTTGATGGAACTAGGAAGCCAGAAATTATTCATTAATCAGAAACACATTGGCAGTGAAAAGCCCAGCTGTTGGGGATGTTTGAAATTCACAGTTTAACAGCATAGTAGATAAATGACATCAAGATAGCCACATTCTGCTCCTGATAAATCCCTTCTTTGTTCTCAGGAACTCACCCCCCCCACACACACAACCAAATGTTGGAAGAAAAAAAGTTCAAAGGTTATTTAATTTTATACAAGCTACTTAATTTTAAACAACTCCCTCACTTTTTAGATGAAGAATTAGTAACAAAGGAGAGCAAGAGACTTGCTTAGGATCACCCAGCTGGTTAGTGCAAAGCTAGGAAAAGAATCCAGGCGTCCTGCGGTCTAGACCAGGGCTTTTCTACCCAGTTTCCTTGTCTTTGTTACACAGCAAAATCCCAGAATAAAGATGTTATTTTAAAAGACAGTATAATTTGTCAGTTTTCCCGAAACTTAAACAGAAAACTACCCATGACCCTTCAATTTTACTAGGTATATGTCCCAAGGATTTAAAACAGGTTCTTAAGCAAGTACATGTGGACAGCTGCTCACCAAAGCATCACCTACAACGGCCAAACAGTGGAAATAGCTCAAACATCCATCCGAGGTGGATGGAGAAGTGGATCTGTGGATTTTTGGACGATTATCCATCCACAGAAAAGAATGAAATATTGACATAAGCTACACTGTGAAACAATTCCCAAAACGTGTTTAGTGAAAGAGCCCACACTGTCACATACAAATGACCCCAGGTATAGATTTCCCATCAATACCCAGAATCAGTTAATTGCAGAGACAGAACACCACCGGTGCCAGCCAGACCCTGGGGGATGCCACAGGGAGTGACTGCTAATGGCATGGGTCTCTTCTGAGAAATAAAGGTGGTTTGGAACTAGACTAGAGGCATACATTGTGGATGTACTGACTGTCAGTAACTTGTGTACTTAAAATAGTTTATTTTTAGATAAATTTCATACCAATAAAAGAAAGATAAAACATGGGTCTCTGTAATATTCTCATGGAGATGGAAAGGGGCAGAGGAAGGTGGGTGACTGGAAGTAGAGACACAGCCGCCCCCACACACAGAAGACAGGCACAGAGTAGGCGCGTGACCCTTTCCACATACTGTGAGGAGATTTCCACCGGAGTCAAGGGATGGGGGCTTCAAGTTCTAGCTCTGAGACTAGAAGACCAGAACACAGTGAGGGCAGAGCGGTCTGCCACAGCCCTCACACCAACAAGGCCCACGGTTCGCCCAGCCTGATAACCAGGGAAAGGGAGGCAAGAGGACAGGGCTCCTGGCCTACAGCAATGACATCCACATCTCTAAAGACTGCCTGATTTACTGTCAACCACAATGGCACAGCCATCACTCCATGGTCAAGGCATGTTATCCCCTAGGTCTGTTTCCAGGCCTTCCCAGTACCGTAAGGGGTGTATTCACTGTGCTTCCTGTTGCTGTAATAAGCACCCCCTCTCCCCACCTCCCGACAAAAGAGTTTGTTTCATCTCAGGGCTCCAGATTATAGCTTCTCTCTAGAGGAAGTCCCAGCAACAGTAGCTTAAAGGAACTAGTTACATCCATAGTCAAGAGCAATTCAGGACCCCCTGCTAGACATGCCCACAGGCCAACCTAATCTAGCCATCCACCATTTCCAACTCTCTTCCCAGGCTATTCTAGATTGTATCCAGTTGACAACAGAAATTAACCATCACAAGGATTAATGCAATAGGGAGATGGCGGGTGTGTGGGCTCTGATAAGAGCTCTTTGGAGGGCTGAGGAAGTCTCATTCCTGGTTCCCTGCCGGGAAATTGAAGGAGAAAAGTGGAGGCTGAAGACAGCCCACTGGTCACCCGAGTCTTTGAATGTTGGAATGCAGGACAAAATGTTTTTGTTTAGTGTCACAGGGGTACAACCAGGACCAGGAAGGAGAACGTGTCAGAGAGAAGGTTGTAAGGAGAAGCCACCCATCAGCCATAGCCACCCCACACCATCCACGAAAAATAACCCATCAGAGCAGAAGGGCAGGCGCCACTCAAAAGTGCAAACTTCTGAACTCTTAAACTTCTGGGAGAGGGGCCAAATCAAGTTTCAGATTTTTTTTTCACCTTGTGACCTTGCACACCAAAGAACTTCTGTGACCTTGTTCAGAAAACAGTCCACACCCTTGAGCAACCTGCCTGAGCATCTGTGAGCCTCCTGAGTGACTCAGATTTGAAATGGGAATTTGGTCCTGATGGGCCACCAGGGAGGCTGGCATGCTGGCTCTTGGTCTAGTTCAAGGGCACTAGCCACGCACTCGGACTGCCTGTTTTAATGTCATATTCCCACTGACAAGGCAGAGGCCCCAGGCCTCAGAGCTTTGGGCTTCTCT